GAACTGTGCCAGGTGGAAACCAAAGAGTTGTGACCATTGGAAGCAGCATGGAATCACCAGTCAAGTGTGTGGAAGCTCCCGCAAATGTCCAGTGTGACAGCACGGCCAAACAATTGGGCCGGACGGGCAAGTATCCAGACACATTTCACATATACCATGAAGGTCCTAAGACGCTTGGCAGGCACTTTGTCCATGAGTTTCAAAATGCCTGGAAACTGCTGCACTAGATGTCGAAGCAAAAACTGTTCCAACCAACGCAACCCACCTAACCCAGGATTTGTGCACGTCGGACTGATGCAAACGCTGGTTGGGGCCTGGATCTTATTTTGGAATGCAGAGAAAGTTATGGTGGCGGTGGCTCCATTGGTGGTCATCCTCCTGGTGGCTTTGGCAACGGTTTTAGAAAGTTCGTTCTGCTAGTGGTTGGAGACTTTGACAACCTCAATGGCAGGCTTTGCGGACAAGGTGTATGGTAATGAAACAAAAGTCTTAAGTGTGGGGCTACCTGATGAAGGACACAAGATGCACGAACCCGAATGCCCACACGGCCAACCATTACTTGATACTCTTGTGGGATACTCTTGTAGGACACTCTTGTACGAGACACTCTTGTGGGACACTCTTATGGGACACTCTTGCGGGACACTCTTGTGAAAACTCTTGTGGGACACTCTCGTGCGACACTCTTGCGGGACACTGTTGTAGTGGCAGATGCTCTTGTGGAAAACTCTTGGGGGGCACTCTCCTGCGACACTTGTGTGGGACATTCACTCTTGTGGGGCACACTTGTGGGACGCTCTTGCGGGACACTTTTGTGGGAGACTCTTGTAGGACTTAGGACACTCTCGTGGGACACTCTTGTGGAATACTCTTGTCCAGCACTCTTGTGGAACACTCTCTTGCGGGACGCTCTTGCGGGACACTGTTGTAGGATACTCTTGTGGCAGACGCTCATGTGAGAACATGGAACACTTTTGCGGGACATTCTCGCACGACACTCTTGTGGGACACTCGCTTTTGTGGGGCACTCTTGTTGGACACTTGCAGCACTCTTGTGGGAGACACTCTTTTCGGACACTCGCCACGAGAACCCTTCGCTACGCATTTAAGAGATTGAGATAAGGCACCATTTTAAGGGGCCCTTTAAGGGGGGCGGGAGCCCAACCCATTGGGGGGTTGGTTTTGGCAAAAATTGGCAAGGGACCATTTCTTTTCCTAGGAAGCCTTCACGTTTCGTTGCGCAGGCACAACAGTCACTATTGGAACCAGCCCAGACTCGTCAGTGAAGTGCGTGGCGGACCCGGGCCATGTGCAGTGCGATGACACGGCTGAACAAGTTGGTCGGACGGGCCAATGGCCAGACACTTTTCGAATCTACCACGATGGTCCCCAGATTCTTGGCATCACAGCCTATTTTCATAAGAGGCAAGGCCATGCTATACTGTAGCGTACTAATTTGTACTTGTACTATATTTAGAAATCAAATCACCCCCCCT